ATCACCTAATCTTTTTGTTATCCTCATAACCTTACTCTTTCCTGTATTCACTTTCAATTTTCTTCTTTTGCACACCCTACCAAATTCATCCACCAATCTCTGCAACTTCTCTTCAGAATCTCCCAAGAGCACAGTGTCATCAGCAAAGAGCAACTGTGACAACTCCCACTTTGTGTGATTCTTTATCTTTTAACTCCACGCCTCTTGCCAAGACCCTCGAATTTACTTCTCTTACAACCCCATCTATAAATATATTAAACAACCACGGTGACATCACACATCCTTGTCTAAGGCCTACTTTTACTGGGAAATAATTTCCCTCTTTCCTACATACTCTAACTTGAGCCCTCCTATCCTCGTAAAAACTCTTCACTGCTTTCAGTAACCTACCTCCTACACCATACACCTGCAACATCTGCCACATTGCCCCCTATCCACCCTGTCATACGCCTTTTCCAAATCCATAAATGCCACAAAGACTCTTTAGCCTTATCTAAATACTGTTCACTTATATGTTTCACTGTAAACACCTGGTCCACACACCCCCTACCTTTCCTAAAGCCTCCTTGTTCATCTGCTATCCTATTCTCCGTCTTACTCTTAATTCTTTCAATAATAACTCTACCATACACTTTGCCAGGTATACTCAACAGACTTATCCCCCTATAATTTTTGCACTCTCTTTTATCCCCTTTGCCTTTATACAAAGGAACTATGCATGCTCTCTGCCAATCCCTAGGTACCTTACCCTCTTCCATACATTTATTAAATAATTGCAACACACACTCCAAAACTATATCCCCACCTGCTTTTAACATTTCTATCTTTATCCCATCAATCCCGGCTGCCTTACCCCTTTCATTTTACCTACTGCCTCACGAACTTCCCCCACACTCACAACTGGCTCTTCCTCACTCCTACAAGATGTTATTCCTCCTTGCCCTATACACGAAATCACAGCTTCCCTATCTTCATCAACATTTAAACAATTCCTCAAAATATTCCCTCCATCGTCCCAATACCTCTAACTCTCCAATTTAATAACTCTCCTCTCCTATTTTTAACTGACAAATCCATTTGTTCTCTAGGCTTTCTTAACTTGTTAATCTCACTCCAAAACTTTTTCTTATTTTCAACAAAATTTGTTGATAACATCTCACCCACTCTCTCATTGCTCTCTTTTTACATTGCTTCACCACTCTCTTAACCTCTCTCTTTTTCTCCATATACTCTTCCCTCCTTGCATCACTTCTACTTTGTAAAAACTTCTCATATGCTAACTTTTTCTCCCCTTACTACTCTCTTCACAATCATCATTCCACCAATCGCTTCTCTTCCCTCCCGCACCCACTTTCCTGTAACCACAAACTTCTGCTGAACACTCTAACACATACATTTTTAAACCACTACCCCATACCTCTTCGACCCCATTGCCTATGCTCTCATTAGCCCATCTATCCTCCAATAGCTGTTTATATCTTACCCTAACTGCCTCCTCTTTTAGTTTATAAACCTTCACCTCTCTCTTCCCTGATGCTTCTATTCTCCTTGTATCCCATCTACCTTTTACTCTCAGTGTAGCTACAACTAGAAAGTGATCTGATATATCTGTGGCCCCTCTATAAACATGTACATCCTGAAGTCTACTCAACAGTCTTTTATCTACCAATACATAATCCAACAAACTACTGTCATTTTGCCCTACATCATATCTTGTATACTTATTTATCCTCTTTTTCTTAAAATATGTATTATAACTAAACCCCTTTCTATACAAAGTTCAATCAAAGGGCTCCCATTATCATTTACACCTGGTACCCCAAACTTACCTACCACACCCTCTCTAAAAGTTTCTCCTACTTTAGCATTCAGGTCCCCTACCACAATTACTCTCTCACTTGGTTCAAAGGCTCCTATACATTCACTTAACATCTCCCAAAATCTCTCTCTCTCCTCTGCATTCCTCTCTTCTCCAGGTGCATACACGCTTATTATGACCCACTTCTCGCTTCCAATCTTTACTTTAATCCACATAATTCTTGAATTTACACATTCATATTCTCTTTTCACTCTTCCATAACTGATCATTCAACATTACTGCTACCCCTTCCTTTGCTCTAACTCTCTCAGATACTCCAGATTTAATCCCATTTATTTCCCCCCCACCGAAACTCCCCTACCCCTTCAGCTTTGTTTCGCTTAGGGCCAGGACATCCAACTTCTTTTCATTCATAACATCAGCAATCATCTGTTTCTTGTCATCCGCACTACATCCACGCACATTTAAGCATCCCAGTTTTATAAAGTTTTTCTTCTTCTCTTTTTTAGTAAATGTCTACAGGAGAAGGGTTACTAGCCCATTGCTCCCGGCATTTTAGTCGCCTCATACGACACGCATGGCTTACGGAGGAAAGATTCTTTTCCACTTCCCCATGGACAATAGAAGAAATTAAGAGGAACAAGAGCTATTTAGAAAAAGGAGAAAAACCTAGATGTATGTATATATATATGCATGTGCGTGTCTGTGAAGTGTGACCAAAGTGTAAGTAGGAGTAGCAAGATATCCCTGTTATCTAGCGTGTTTATGAGACAGAAAAAGAAACCAGCAATCCTACCATCATGCAAAACAGTTACAGGTTTCTGTTTCACAGTCATCTGGCAGGACGGTAGTACTTCCCTGGGTGGTTGCTGTCTACCAACCTACTACCTACCCTGAATCCCTTCACTAAATATTACCCTGCTCACACTCCAACAGATCGTCAGGTCCCAAGTATCATTCGTCTCCATTCACTCCTATCTAACACGCTCATGCACGCTTGCTGGAAGTCCAAGTCCCTCGCCCACAAAACCTCCTTTACCCCCTCTTTCCAACCCTTTCGAGGATGACCCCTACCCCTCCTTCCTTCCCCTATAGATTTATATGCTTTCCATGTCATTCTACTTTGATCCATTCTCTGTAAATGACCAAACCACCTCAACAACCCCTCTTCTGCCCTCTGACTAATACTTTTATTAACTCCACACCTTCTCCTAATTTCCGCACTCCGAATTTTCTGCATAATATTTACACCACACATTGCCCTTAGACAGGACATCTCCACTGCCTCCAACCGTCTCCTCGCTGCTGCATTTACCACCAAGCTTCAAATCCATATAAGAGTGTTGGTACTACTATACTTTCATACATTTCCCTTCTTGCCTCCATAGATAACGTTTTTTGACTCCACATATACCTCAAACGCACCACTCACCTTTTTTCCCTCATCAATTCTATGATTAACCTCATCCTTCATAAATCTATCCGCCGACACGTCAACTCCCAAGTATCTGAAAACATTCACTTCTTCCATACTCCTCCTCCCCAATTTGATATCCAATTTTTCTTTATCTAAATCATTTGATACCCTCATCACCTTACTCTTTTCTATGTTCACTTTCAACTTTCTACCTTCACACACATTCTCAAACTCATCCACTAACCTTTGCAATTTTTCTTTAGAATCTCCCATAAGCACAGTATCATCAGCAAAAAGTTTTTTTTTTTTTTTTTTTTTTTTTTTTCAACAAGTCGGCCGTCTCCCACCGAGGCAGGGTGACCCAAAAAAGAAAGAAAATCCCCAAAAAGAAAATACTTTCATCATCATTCAACAATTTCACCACACTCGCACATTATCACTGTTTTTGCAGAGGTGCTCAGAATACAACAGTCTAGAAGCATAAACATATAAAGATACACAACATATCCCTCCAAACTGCCAATATCCCAAACCCCTCCTTTAAAGTGCAGGCATTGTACTTCCCATTTCCAGGGCTCAAGTCAGCAAAAAGTAACTGTGTCAATTCCCATTTTGAATTTGATTCCCCATAATTTAATCCCACCCCTCTCCCGAACACCCTAGCATTTACTTCTTTTACAACCCCCATCTTAAAAAATTTTAAAAACCCATGGTGACTTTACACATCCCTGTTTTTAAGCCCCTTACTTTTAGGGGAAGTAATCCCCCCTTCTTCTACACACCCTAACCTGAGCCTCACTATCCTCATAAAAGCTCTTTACAGCATTTGTAACTTACCACCTATTCCTTATTGCAAACATCTGCCCATTGCCCCTTTAATCCATCTATATATCCATTTTAAACCCACAAAGCAATAAGAATTCCAAACCTTTATCAAAATTTCTGTTCACATATATGCTTCAATGTAAACTTGTCTACACATCCCTACCCCTCTGAAACCTCCCCGCCATCTGCAACCACATTCTGTGTTACCCTAATTCTTTCAGTTTTTAACCCTACGTATACTTTTCCTTTGGGATACTCGGTAAAATTTTTTCCCCTAAATTTTTTCAGCTCTTTTGTCCCCTTTTCCCCTTTTTATAAAGGGACTATACTGCTCTCGGCCAATCCCTAGGGCCTTCCCCTCTTTATACTTTATTAAACAAAAGTACCCCACTCCAACACTATATTCCCCCCCCCTTTTTTTAATTTCTGTCATGATCCCATCAGTTCCAGTGCTTTACCCCCCTTTTATTTTACGTAATGCCTCCGTCCTCCACCCCACTTTCATTTGCTCTTCTTCACTCCAAAAGTGGTATACCCCCTGGGCCCGTGCATGAAATTACCGCCTCCTTTCTTCCTCAACATTTAAAAGTTCTCAAAATATTTCGCCACTACCCAATACCTCCCTCTCCCCATCTACTAACTCCCCTACTTGTTTTTTAACTGACAAATCCATTTTTTCCCTAGGCTTTTTAACTTGTTTAACTCCTCCCAAAAAATTTTTTTATTTTCATTAAAATTTCTTGACAGTGCCTCTCCCACTCTATATTGCTCTCTTTTTCACTTCTCACCACTCCTTCACCTTTTTTTTTACTCTCCATATACTCTGCTCTTCTTATAAATTCTTCTTTGTAAAAAAAACCCCTCTAAGCTCCTTTTTCTTTTTATCACACCCCTTTTCTTCTCATTAAAAAGCCATGCGGTTATAAGAGACAACTAAAATGCTGGGAACAAGGGGCTAGTAACCCCTTCTCCTGTATACATTACTAAATTTAAAAAGAGAAGCTTTCGTTTTTCTTTTTAGGTCACCCAGTGGGATATGGCTGGTTTGTTGAAAAAACAAAAGATCAACAATGCCACAGGAGAGAGCATAAAATGATAATTTTTCCACAATAAATGTCAGTGATATGCTGCTAGGAAAAAATTATATCTGCCACTATTTATTATGGATTTTGTTGGTGAGACAATGGTATACAGTGGTATTTTAAGTGCTGTCTTCAAATTTTTGTTTTATACTAAACATTAATAACAAAAAAAGGCACAGTACCGTGACTGGAACGATACACAAATAACCCGCACATAGAAGAGAGGAGCTTACGACGTTTCAGTCTGACTTGGACTATTTACAAAGTCACACTAACGAGAAGTAGAGCAGGACGGGTATATATAGGCAGGAAGTGTTAGTGGTGGTAGTAGTAGTGGTGGTAATAGTAGTGGCGAAAGTGTAAGGTAGTAGTAGTGGGGAAGAAAGGAGGAGGAGCCAGTCAAATACTAAGAAAGGGGAGCACTGCAAGGGAGCTAGGTGCCCACAGAGAGAGAGAGCAAGAACACAGAGGTAGGGGGGAGGGGAAGTAATAAAATAAATAATGAAGGAACAGAAACACAAGGCAGAAGAAAGATAACCCAGAAGAGAAAAAGGAAAGAGGAAAGGGGAAGAGGGAGAAGAAGAAAAAGAAAAAGAAAAAGGGGGAATCAAGTGTGACTTTGTAAATGGTCCAATTCGTACCGAAACGTCGTCGTAAGCTCCTCTCTACTAAACATTATTTTTCTTTGCAGGACCACTATTCTACCTCAGCCTGAAATGCTCAAAACTATGCTTGAAAAGTTCCGCGAGTTCCACACAAATTTTATTAAGCTTTATGAATGAGTAGCAGCTTCAGCAAATATCATATTGCACATATCTGTAAGTATAAGTGTTAAGCTCAAGTGACTCTAGATTGCATTGCAGTTTTATTTTAAAATCTTGGTTGCTCTATGGTGTGCTTTAATCAGATTTTTGCACACTGAGATTAGTTTGGGTTACACTCCTAGTAATTCTCTTCAAGTTTGGAAGATTTTCACTTCTCAGTTACAGTACTTGAGCTGTATAGAAACTGCATTTTCCCTTATCTAGTGTACTGCTCTCACATCTGTGTAAGCTCACCTATTGAAAAGCTTCATACAGTTCAGAGGAAAGCTTTTCTCAGGAGTACATATATTTTAAACATTGCTTCACTCTTTGTGGAAACAGTCAATGGCTAACCAAGATAAGTATTGTGCTGCCTTATGAGGATTATGTAAAATGACATTCTTTAAACTTTAGCAGAATTCACACTAGATAATCTATTAAACTGGATTTGTACAGTTAAGAATACTTTTATTTTCAGACGCACCTTTCAGACTTAACTGCAGCCATGAGACCTAGTCACAATGATGTCTGACAAAAGAAAATATGTTTCATTGTGATAATGGTTCTACATAAAATATGTTTGGAGATCTTTCGCAGATTTTTTTTTTTTTTTTTTTAATTTGTGTTGACTAATTGTTTATTATAATGCTGGCTCACTTAAAGCAATTTAAATGTGTTTTGAATGTGTATGTCAGGCTCACATACTGCAGTATAAAGTATCTGACAGAACTCTTGCATCATTTTGCTTATACTATATCAAAATGATGCATGAAGTTCAATTTTCATAAATTTCAATACATTTGAATATTTATAAAATGTAGTTATTAAAAATAATGATACGAGATAGTAAAATTCAAAATTTTCAGGCACTTGTTGTAATTGCACTATTTTGTGTTGTATAAAAAGTTTTGTTAGCATTATAAAATGTAGAATAGTAATTTCATTTAAAGTACCAATACTGGTAATTATGTTGCCTTAAAATAAATGGAATACACACACACACACATATGCTCAATTTGATAATTGCAATGGAAAGGTGAAAAGATATACCTGATGGAAAATTTGACAATAAACAGTTCTAAGATTTGTTAAAGCTCAATACATCTTGCATTGGTAGCGATGTAATTGTAAATTTTACTACAGTAATATATTTACTGATGAACAACTGAATCAGTTGCTTAATGTTTTGGTAGCTACTTTACATACAAGTCTAATTGAGAAAGCATTGTAGTTGCCTGAGAGTTTGTACAGTGCATATATTTTGTTAAGGTTTACTATGTGGTGCCTTGGGTTACTTTTCAATTGCTACTTATGTGTATTTTTTATAGCCTGGATTAGTCCATATGTTGCAATAAATATGAAACTAGTGACCAACATTTGATACATTTCTTTAACTCCTTTGTTTCTGGAATTTCCCATGACAGTCTAGCTTTATTTACCCAAACTTATTGGGATTTTAGTTAAGTCTTTAAAATTCATTTAATAATTAGTACCAATGATATATAAAATTTTACTTGCCAAGAAATTATCTTCATTTCAACTTTTCTGATACCATTGTAGATAATTTAAGCAAGAAGTGCTACATAATTACAGCAATAATGCATTTTAAAAAGTTTGTGTTTTTTGTAACTTGAATAATAATTTCTCATAAAATGTGAAAGAACATATTTATTTTATATTAAGCAAGAGTCATTAAAGACACTTATAAATTTGCCCATTAGAGCAAGGAATTATTAATTTTTTGATGAATATGCAGGTTTGTTGCCTCCCTCTGCCACTTGTAAACAATTCTGTTTAACCATGCAGCATCACTGGTTATATTCATCTATCAGTGCTATCTTGTCTCCCTCCCTACTTCTTCTCCACACCATTTCCCTTCTCTTGCTCTCCTTTCTTACTTTTCCTTTCCTCTCTTAGTCATCCATTCCCTTTCATGTATGCCCTTCTTTATTTTAAATGATAATGAATAAGAGGGAATGAAGAACTCGAATTTCTTAGCAATATATTGCCTTTCTTCCTCACTCAGTTGTAAACCAACAACAATAGACTTGCTTTCTGTACATAATATTTTTTAATGCCAGTCTTTTTTGTCTGTAATAGTTACCAGCATACAGAGGAGTTATAGTTATGATCCTGAATAGGCATATTGTCTCAGTAAATAGATATTCTCTAAAAAAATTTATAAAAACAAGTTGCTTGTTGCACCTGTTTATATTTGCTAAACAAGGCTTGGGTTTAGCCCCAACTCTTTTCCTTTTTTCTTTATTCTTTTCCTCTCTCCCATCTATTCATCAAATATCCCCACTTCCCCCTCACCCCTAGTGGGTCCTTACCTGTGAGTCTTGTTTAGGCTTGGGTTATCAGTTCACCCTATCTTTCACTCAAAATTTTCTGTTAAATGATGGGTAAATAGTTTAGGCTAATTAATAGAGAGGGTTTGATACAGATGAGTTAGGGTAAATGAGATTTGACTCCATGAAGAGTGTCTGGCACAAATGGTGTCTGAGTAAATTAATTTCAACTTCACTAAGTAATTTTATGACCAGTATATATCATTTGCAAAAATTTTGCACAATAACTATTATTGCATTGCCATTTGAAAATGCCACACTTTCCAGGCTCACTAAACCCTTGCAGTTTAGTGCTTTTTAATTATATTAATAATAATCCAGGTTTAATATGGTTAATACTTGTCATTCCTTGGAATTGAATCTTTGTACATTAACTGAGGAACATGGCATCCCAGATTTTTATGGTATATTAAAAGGAATAGAAAGCTAAATATTTGATTTGAGAAGTAATTGCTAATGGAAGAATTCTGGAGGAATGAGTGTTTCATCCATGAATTTTGTAATTTTGACTGCTAAAGCTTTTGTATTTTCATATACATATTGCACATTTTTGTAAATTTGAAATACAGTACATTGAGCTGTGATAAACCTGACTCCCTACACAATAGGCTTGATGAGCAGGAACTATGTATAAAGATTTAACACATGCAAATAAAAGGATAAACAATTTTTCTTTTATTTAAGGTATATTCCTATTGTGCAGATATGATGTGTTTATGAAGGATGAGATAAACCATAGAATTAATAAATAAAAAAGGTGGGTGGTGCATTGAGGTATCTGTGGAGACAAAGAACATTATCCATGGAGGCAAAGAAGGGAATGTATGAGAGTATAGTGGTACCAACACTTATATGGGTGTGAAGCATGGGTTGTAAATGCAGCAGTGAGGAGGCTGGAGGCAATGGAGATGTAGTGTCTAAAGGGCAATGTGTGGTGTAAATATTGTGCAGAGAATTCATAATGTGGAAATTTGGAGGTGTGGAGTTACTAAAAGTATTATTCAGAGGTTCTGAGGAGGGGTTGGTGAGGTGTTTGGTCATTTAGAGAGGATGGAGTAAAACAGGATGATTTGGAGGGTGTATATATCTGTGGTTGAGGGGTAGGAGTCATCTTAGGAAAGGATGGAGGTAGGGGATAAAAGAGGTTTTGTGTCCAATGGACTTAAACATGCAGCAGGCATGTGTGAGCATGTTGGAGTGTTAAGGGAAACCAGTTAGCTGAACTTGAGCCCTGGAGGTGGGAAGTACAATGCCTGCACTTTAAAGGAAGGGTTTGGGATATTCGTTGTTTGGAATGACATCTGAATTGTCATATCTGCAAGCCTCTGCAAAGACAGTGATTATGTGTGAATGATGGTGAAAGTGTTTCTTTGGGTTACCCTGCCTTGGTGGGAGATGGCCAGCATGTTAAAAAATAGAAATTAAAAACCTTAGGAAGGGGGTAGTAACCCTTTCTGTATAAATTACTAAATGTAAGAGCAACTTTCGTTTATCTTTTTAGGTCACCCTACCTTGTTGAGAGGCGGCTGGTGCACTACAAAATAAAAACCTTATTTATTTGTGCATCACTTATTTTGGGCTCCTTCAAGGGGATGTTCCTTGCTGTGGCTAAGAGGCTTTTGATCACAGAAGCTGGACTGATTCTCCCATTCCTCATCATATCAAAGTACCCTCTCTCCCCTTTTTGGAGAAATTTGGCTCTCAGAAGGAAAAAATTCACTCTGTTTTAGCATAACTTCCACTAGTAGTGCCTAGGTGGTTATGCCACCCTCATTCGATAGAAATTAGATCTCGGCACTTGTCTGGTAACTCTCCGCTGAGACATTGGGTGGCCATTTGGCAGGACCTTTCATGACCGGAAGAATTACTGGAAGTCCCCTGTAGATCCAGGAGTGACTAAGGTTTATAATTCCCAAAAGTCTTTATGGTTTGTCCACTGCCATTATTATCTGCAATGCAAATGCACAGCTAGTGCATTTTGTCTAAATAGGCAGCTTTGCTTAGTCAATTGTTGAGGTGCTATCCTAGTGTTGTGCACCAAGTTGGATAGGTCAATTCCAGGGAACAAAACTGCACTACTGTCATAGTGGAGGTGACCATGGATCAAGGTTGGTACTTTTATTTTTTTTTTTTTTTTATTCTCGGGGCTGTCCCCCACTTTTATCACATGATGAAACATTACCTTAGTCTCCTGGATCTTCAGTGACTGCAACAACACCTACTGACCCCTAGAATTACTTTTGGGTAACCACTTGTTGCCCAAAACTGATAATGGTATTCTACCCATTCCTTCTAGTACCTCTACTTTGACAATGTAACCAGTTTTTCCCATGAAGTAACAACTCATAGATCAGCACACTTAAAGACAGAGTGATTTGATGCTGTCAACCCAAACAAAAGGAAAGACAAGAGGTGATGCTGACATAGAAGACATATCAGTCACAAATGGGATGTGCACCAGAGATGCACAATGACCAGGACTGTGGTGACCATACACCAACACACCCTTCTCAAGTCAAGTTCAGTAAAACACCCATAACATTATCATTGGTGTCCTGTTTTCTTTCGGGAAAGAGAGATCCAATGTTTGAAGGAGAAAAATTATGTCATGCAGTTGAGTTGTGACCTAACTATGCCAGCAGGTAAAAACAAAAAAAAATATGTTGCTCCTATTCCAGAGTTGTCCATCAACCTCAGCACCCAACGATGAACTCTACCACAGTTACTCCAGCACCCAATGATCCTTAAAGTGTTCTCAACTATTATGTTCCTACATCTTCAACTGTCCTCTGTTCATCTCTTAGCTTACACAGTCCTCATCACCTGTTTCCCCAGCACCTACACCACAACCCCAAAGACCTGAAAAAAAAAAAAAAAACACCTCAAGACCTCATCCTAACCCCTTATATCCTTTCATGTTTTAACTTTTTCAATAGACTACCTTAACTCTGACCCCCTCCTAAAATAAAAAAGCATTTCCACATCTTTTCCCTATTATTCTTGGATGCAACAATTTCGTTTTGCTCTCATGGGCCCCCCCATCTTAAGAGACGACAGGCACCTTGCAAGCCCTTCTTTCAGTAACTACTGCCAACATCTCTACTCCCTCATAATTTGCATTTTCTTTTGTCACCTCTTACACCATATTATAGTGGAAAATTAATTCACGTGGGGTACATTCCTGAAAACTGTGCTACTAACCACTTCTGTGGCTTATGAACTGAAAAACACATGGGAAAAATAGGATTGCATTCTCCATACCTCTGAAAATGCTACAAATTTTTTTAATATAAAAATAATAGGTTTTGTTGTCTAACATTGTCAATGATGATGCTGTCATATTCTTGAACTCTAGTGAGGTTCAGACAGTTAAAAGAAAGTACATTGGCTAAAAAGTGTTACATTAATACTAACTAGCCAATTTTGGCATTTGTTATACATCTGCACCAACCTCACAGTGACATCTGATGCATATGGGTTTTGTGCTTATTTAATATAATAGTAATAATAATATACAGCACTTAAAGAATAAGAGATACTGGTAATTAGGGTTGATCTGATGAAGGGAAAGACAACTCCAATTTCATGGATTTTATTAATATTGTTTATGGAGAATGGCTAAAACTGAGATGAGAAGTAATAGGTTTCATCCAAGGATGGGGGAGGTGCCTCCAATTCCTCATATCAAGAGCCTTTCATCAGCATCAAGACACCCTTCTTAAAGGAGGGAGGAAACAAGGAAAGATGTGGGAAGAGAAGACAGGGGTAAAGAACAAGAAAGTAAGGTGAGGGGAAGAGGGCAGTAAGTAGATGGACCTTGCCAAGATGGTCATTTTGATCTACATTTTGAGTGGAAAAGTTCATAAGTGCAACAAGTTTAGATTGAGTCTGCTAGCATCACATCAGGAACCACTGGTAAACACTGCAAATATATCGATAACCTTGTGACCAAGGAAGGTATCTCTAGCTCTTTACCCTTTTATATACCTAAATACACAATGATGTATGACCCTGGTGGGTTTAGCACTTAGTTTTGATTATAGTAATAATAATATACCTAAATACATAGTGGGCAACATGATCTCCAGTTAGGACAACCAGTGTCACACAAATTGCCCTTCAGGTATTTCTGTTTATGTTGTTATTATCATAAAAAGAGGCTCTAAATTTACAGGGGTCATACAGCACAGGACAGGGAAGGGTGCAGGGGTATTGGGTAACAAGACAGAGAGGGAGTATTATTAGGTCATGCAGTGCAGTGGGGCATTTTGGTGTACTATGTACTCGAGATGGACCAGAAATTTTAATGTTTGTGGTTCTTGGTTAGATTAATGTACATGAATCAATATTTCCCTATAATTGATCAACAATAACAAAATTTAAATATCATGTAACTTATGTTTGGCAGCATGAGGCATATTGTTCCATTTTTAGTGTGCAGTTTCTCATGAATATTCCAAAATTTGGAGGATGGGCTGGGTTGGAACCTACTGAAGAGAGGGAGGGATACCTGGAGTTTACCTGGAGAGAGTTCCGGGGGTCAACGCCCCCGCGGCCCGGTCTGTGACCAGGCCTCCTGGTGGATCAGAGCCTGATCAACCAGGCTGTTGCTGCTGGCTGCACGCAAACCAACGTACGAGCCACAGCCCGGCTGGTCAGGAACCAACTTTAGGTGCTTGTCCAGTGCCAGCTTGAAGACTGCCAGGGGTCTGTTGGTAATCCCCCTTATGTGTGCTGGGAGGCAGTTGAACAGTTTCGGGCCCCTGACACTTATTGTATGGTCTCTTAACGTACTAGTGACACCCCTGCTTTTCATTGGGGGATGTTGCATCGTCTCCCAAGTCTTTTGCTTTCGTAGTGAGTGATTTTCGTGTGCAAGTTCGGTACTAGTCCCTCTAGGATTTTCCAGGTGTATATAATCATATATCTCTCTCGCCTGTGTTTCAGGGAATACAGGTTTAGGAACCTCAAGCGCTCCCAGTAATTGAGGTGTTTTATCTCGTTATGCGCGCCGTGAAGGTTCTCTGTACATTTTCTAGGTCAGCAATTTCACCTGCCTTGAAAGGTGCTGTTAGTGTGCAGCAATATTCCAGCCTAGATAGAACAAGTGACCTGAAGAGTGTCATCATGGGCTTGGCCTCCCTAGTTTTGAAGGTTCTCATTATCCATCCTGTCATTTTTCTAGCAGATGCGATTGATGCAATGTTATGGTCCTTGAAGGTGAGATCCTCCGACATGATCACTCCCAGGTCTTTGATGTTGGTGTTTCGCTCTATTTTGTGGCCAGAATTTGTTTTGTACTCTGATGAAGATTTAATTTCCTCGTGTTTACCATATCTGAGTAATTGAAATTTCTCATCGTTGAACTTCATATTGTTTTCTGCAGCCCACTGAAAGATTTGGTTGATGTCCGCCTGGAGCCTTGCAGTGTCTGCAATGGAAGACACTGTCATGCAGATTCGGGTGTCATCTGCAAAGGAAGACACGGTGCTGTGGCTGACATCCTTGTCTATGTTGGATATGAGGATGAGGAACAAGATGGGAGCGAGTACTGTGCCTTGTGGAACAGCTTTTCACCGTAGCTGCCTCGGACTTTACTCTGTTGACGACTACTCTCTGTGTTCTGTTAGTGAGGAAATTATAGATCCATCGACCGACTTTTCCTGT